GACCTTGACAATCCCTACACAGGCCCTAAATCACCATAGTGGACAAAAGAGTAAATGCCAACACCAAGGAGAAAGGGCTAATCTGTATGCTTTTTGCCTGATTGTATGCATGATAACAGCACTAACACTACTATGTTCTTATACTTTGTCCTTTCTAGACAATTCATGTATTTTATGGATGAGAAATACAAGGCCACAGAAAGTACTGAAACAAACTTGAGCTAACTCACATTTTGTCAATCTTGTTACAATAAACTATACTTAAAAAACCTTTGACTACTACAGGTACAATTCTGCAAAATAATCACCTGCAAAATGAGACTTGTATAAAGGACACAAAAAAAGAATATTATGCTACTATGCTACTCGGATACAGTCATTTCTGAGATCAAAACTTTGCGTCCTGTATGAAATACGAGTCTTCAAGTTTAAAAAGTTCAGACAGTGACCTTAATAGCAGGACCAATGAAGAAAGTCCAGTCTCAATACCAAAGGAAGCAAAATGAAAAACTGAAAACAATTCCCTATTCACAATAAGCACTCAATTCTGTACTCAATTTTGCTACTAATTTTATTGCAACAAATCAAGGAAATTGATAAAGATAAATATCCCTCATTTCTGATGCTCGGTCTTTTGCTACACAACTCATTTAATACAGATTAACAACTACATACTTGCTTGATATTTCTTTTCCCAAGGTTCCTTTCTATTAGAGTGATCCCTAAACTCTTCCTAAAGTTAGCATTCATGGCCTCACCCTAGGCATCATGCATTCTGTAGTAACCAACTCAACACAGGATTCCTAACCCTACAAAATCCCTAGGCAAGGAAGACTTAGGAAGAAGGCAAAAGAGCTTAAACACAGAATGGAAAAAAGAAAAAAAAAATCCAGGGATATTTAATCTAGTTAAATTATTTAAAGCTGAAAGCCTCCAGTGGCTGTCCTGCACAGGCATGGCCTCGGAAAAAAGAAAACCTTATCCAACCTATGCTCCCCAAAATTCCAGTACCACGACCCCAGCCCCTCACAGGCACCTATGCCTCAAGCACTGTTTGGTTGTGCCTTCATGCCTGCTAGTAACTCTACCTTACAAGCCCAGGAAGGTCACAGAACCAAAGACTCCAAGGAATTGTTTTTGGAATCCTGACTTTGTATCAGTGAACTTTCAACCACTGTAAACTGTTTCTGCATCCCATAAAGAGACTGGTTTCAGATTTACTAAGACTCAGGGAAAGAACACAGGTATTCCATTGTGAATAGGTCACACAGCACAGAAGCACTTTCCTGGCTCCCTGCTGAGCTCCTACTAAATAAGGTTTTACCAAAATAAGGGTGTCTAATCTAGGATTTGAAAGATAAGACACCCTTATTTTGGTAAAACCTTATTTAGTCTTATGTCCTATTTACTTCCCTCAAAAGAACCAACTGCTCACTTCTGTTTCCTCAGCACTTCAGAGAAACCTCCATCACACTGTTATTGCTTGGTATGTGCCGTGGTCCATTAAGAGAATGAAGGTCTGCAGGGTGGGATTTTTATCTACTAAACACTGCTAACCTCAAATCTGAAAGAATTGGTAATGGAAGCTTATTTGTATTTGTTGAAATCAATGATTTCATTAAACCATTACAAATGAATCTTTCAGAAGGTCCTTTTAAATATTTTGATAACACATTCTGTTTGTTGAAATGAACTTTTTTTTTTTGATACCTGGGATCAAACTCAGGACTTTGTACATGCCAGGCAGGCATTGCACTGCTGAGCTACATCCCTGGCTGGAAAGAACAATCTTAACTTAAGGTGGTACCCTACCAGCAACTGAAGTTTTCTTTAATGTCAGCGCTCACTGTTCATTCATTCAACAAGTTTCTCCTAGGTTCCAGCACTGAACAAAATTAAGTAAAATCTCTGTCCCCATGGGCAAATGTGTGGAGAAAAGAAGTTATCAGGGCAAACTTGCCCAAAAAAGGTACTGGACGTTACACTTTGTTCTTCAACATTTACTAAGCATCAAAAGACTAAATCAAACTCCTAACCACAGATAAAATTTAACTACTTAAGAAAAAAGGATCTCATAAAATTAAGCCAGATTTAGTGTTTTAAATAAGACTGATTTAGAGTCTCTCAGAAAAATGCTCAGATTAAGACCTCATTTCCTTGTAGCTAAAAATAACTTTTCTTTTAAAGTCTGGGACAAGGTCTTGCTATGCAGTTTAGGCTGGCCTTGAACTCGTTGCAATTCTCCTGCTTCAGTCTCCCAAGTGCTGGGATTACAGGTCTGCCGCACCACACCCAGTTTAAAAATAACTTTTCAGAGTTGTTTTTTTGGTTTTTTTGGTACCAGGGATCAAACGCGGGTCCTTGCGCTTGCGCACCAGGCGGCAAAACCACTGAGCTAAATCCCTGGCCCCTTGAGTTCTTTTTTTAAAGATTGGGGTCCTTTGAGTGTTTTGAAGGATTTGATGTATACGAATACACAAGAGATCCCAATTTGAAATGATTTTTTTCTAATTATTTTCAGCCCTGGGAATGGACCAAGGGGCCTCACACATGCTAAGTAACTTCTCTACCACTAAGCTACACCGACAGTCTTTTTAAATTTTACTTCAACACAGGATCTTGCTAAGTTGCCCAGGTTTGCCTCAAACTTAAGATCCTCTTGACTCAGACTCCCCAGCAGGTGGAATTTCAGGTATGTACCACCAAATCCTGATTTTTTTTAATGCATCCTACTTTAAAGCCTGACTGTAATCTTAGAACATTTTTTATTCTGTAAATGAAAAAGGCTGTTTGAAAACTTTGCATCAATATTTCTGAAAGGTGTGTTCATAGCCCACATGCTGAATCAAGACCATGTCTCAAACTGGGCTTCATCACTCAGTCCTCTTTGGACTCTTGCTGAGTCCAGAGGATGAGGGTCTAGGACCAGCCTCCATAGCCCCCAAACACTCCCCTCCAATCTTCTCTCTGCTTCAACCCTCAGTTGTATCCATCTTTTTCTTCAAGCCTATGCTTTGCTTGTTGTAGTCCTTCCCTGCTTAGAAGGCCTCTTCCTCATCACTGCTGTTAAAGACACTTCCGTGTCAGTAACCCATCTGTCTCAAGACACTCTGATGGCTGGGACCCAACACCAGACACCCGAAACTTCAAGGAGGAGCATTTATTTTGGCCCAGGCTTTCAGTCCCTGCTTAATTGGCTTTTCTGGCAGAGCCCTGGCAAGGGGAAAGGTGCTCAACTCGTGGCACCCCAGAAGCAGAGCACAAATGGAGGAGCTAGGGACAAGAATCCACCCTTCCAGGTCACACCCCTGGGGACCCAACTCCAACCAGATCCCACCTCTTAACAGCAGTCAGCTGCTGATCTCATCAAAGGATGAATCCACTCATGAGTGCAGCACCCCAGGATCCAGTCAGCTTCCATACATACAAGACTTTTGGGGGACATTTTAAATCCAAACTCTAACACCATTTCCATAGGTAAGAGCGTCTGCCTTCCCTCTGTCTAGGTCACCCAAGGCGTATGAGTTCACAAGCACCTCTGGAAGCATCTCACAGAGTATGGCAAGCTCTGCCTTGCTCTACTCCCACCATCTCCTTACTGGAGTGAACACTTCTCTCCTCTCCCCCTGCACATCTGGAAGAGGAATTACCATCAGATAAAGAGTTAAGACAATGCTCAAATTTGTGTCACATACTTGGAAGCATCATTTAGAGATCTCTGCAAAAAAGTTTGCCATGAAATTTTCCTACCTAAAATGTTATATGTCTATGTCAAAAAAGTACACAAAGGGTCCAGTTGTCCCAAGCAGTCAAAGCTGAGCATGGTGAGAAAAGAATACTTGTCATTTGATTATGAGGCAAAAGATCTGAAGGGTCCTGAAAACAAGAGTAGTTTCCACACAAAAAAAGATTTAATTTCGGGTTAATGTTTCGTCATTATGTGGCATCTTCACATTTTAGTGAGAGCCTTGCTGGCTTCGCTAATTAACAGGAGTCCAGGTGATGGATATAAAGCCAGGGAGCTGGATTTCAGGGCCATGGCTCCTACATTTATGGTTGAATAAATGACCTGTGCTTCCTCTCTAAACAGACAGAAAGGGGGAGAAAAATCACACTTCAAACAACGCCCACCTCCCCGGATTCAAAGCGCTAGCATCTAGCCCTAGCCACAGGGAAAAAAATGTTTCCACAGCACCCTAAGGGAAACAAGAACCTGAATCATGAAATGAAACATTAAAACTCATCAGTGGTGCGTCTTAGAAAAATTACTGGTGAGATTTAAGTCACAACCCCCCACTTTCCCTCAAAAGTGCTTTCTAATAATACCGAGCTCAGTCCAAATAGCTTCCCTCTGCCAAGAACTGTCGAAGTGCGCCTCCCCCTGCGCGGCAACCAGGGTGAAAAATTAGTGCCAGGGGAACCTTAATCCCTTCGTTTTTAAAGAAAACTGGAAACGTCCATCTTGCCGGGCGTTTATCCACAGAAGTGGCTCCTAATTGAACTTAAGAAGCGAATATGACTTTTAACAGATAATCTGGTTCCTAAGTGGAAAGCAAGAGAGGCAAAATCAAAGTGAATGGGTGAATATGCACCCAAAGGAAAAAGTTAGAGAAAGGGGTAGAGAATTCATCTGGGGAAAGGAAGAAACTCGAAAAGTACTACAGAAAACCACAAAAGGAGAGGAAATAACGTTCCACCCAAAGATAAACGACTGGGAAAGGTAAAGAGGAGAAGCAGCTGGGAAGAGTTTAGGAGCTCAGCATTACTTAGGTGTCAAAACTGTCGCGTTCTGACAGGGGGGAGGGGGCTGGGTTCTGGTCAGGGACACCCGTGGAGGTGGAGACACGCGCGTCTCTGACTTTAGGAGGGGCAGGGAGGGAGGGGAGGGGGCACCGGGTCGGGCTCCATCCAGGGAAGCCGGGGCCGGGGCTGCCAGAAGCCCAGGGAGAGGCACCAGGCGCGAGTCCCGCGGCCCACCCGGTCCCGGCCCGTGCACTCACCGATGCCCAGTCCCACGACCAGGCGCCCGGCCAGCAGCGCCTGCTTGGAGCCCGCGGCGGCCAGCACTGCGGAGCCGGCGGCGAAGAGCGCGCTGGCCAGCAGGATGGCGGCGCGGCGGCCACACGCGCCGTTCAGGGCCCCGCCGGCCAGCGCCGCGACGGCCGCCGCGCCCACCGAGCCCGACACAAGCAGCTCCTGCCACAGCGCGTCCAGCCCGAGCTGGCGCTTCAACAGCAGCATGGCCCCGGACACCACGCCGGTGTCGTAGCCGAACAGGAAGCCGCCGAGCGCCGAGAACACGGCCGCCACGTACACGAAAGCGGGGGTCTCGTCCTGCTGGAACTGGCGGCGCGCCGCGCGCTCCAGGTCGCCGCCCGCACCCGCGCGCTCCAGGCCGGCGCCCGGCTCCGCCGCCAGCAGGCTGCGCTCCCCCGCGCCCGCCGCGTCGGGCTCGGGCTGCTTCCGGCGCCGCTCGCCCATCAGGCTGCCGAGGCTCCGCAGCGTGTACTCCGCGCCAGCGCTCGCCTTGCGGGACATGGAGCAGGTGCCCGGCCGCCGGGCTGGGCGCCGCCGCTGCCTGCGGGACCCACGCCGCCGAGATAGAAAGTTGCGCCCGGCGCCGTAGCTTCACACTCGCGCCCCGCGCCGGCCTGCCGAGCTGGCGCTGCAGAGCGGGCGGGGGCGGGGCCGCGTCACGTGCGGCGGGGGCGGGGAGGGGCCGGCGCGCTCCGCCCCCGTGGGCGGGGCAGAGCCCTCCTAGGTGAGACGCGGCGCCCACCCTCGGGTCTCGGGTACTAGTGTGAGACGTGCGCGGGCTTCCGCCTGCAGTGGGTGGCTCTGGGAAGGATGCAGAGAAGGACGCTCCCGGACCAGGATGTGGGCCGGGAAGAAGCCCCTAGACCAGCCCGAGCCGCCTTCTGCCCACCACGGACAGCCAAGGCTGGAAGGGCCTGAGGAGAAGACAAGTTATCTTGGTGTGGCGCAAAGCGGGGATCCATCCTTGTGTAGTGTTGTGACTTTACCCGGTGTGTTCCGTGAGTTTATTCTAGGGCGATTCCGAACCTGTTCTCCCGTCTCGGTAACGCTCACTGCCCTGCCCTTTCCAAGTCTGAAGGCGTGGTGCCCCGATTGCTCAGGAGGACGGAGATGCGTGTCCTCAAGTGGATCCCAGACCTCCTCTCGGGATTCCTGATGGGGAGAGAAAATGTGTGCATCCACCCTTGTCTAACAGGAGAGTCCCACTGCATTAAGGAAAACGCAAGAGTCTGACCTGTGCCCAAAAGGCCACCTGCCTTCCAACAGGAGAGCTGCGGGGAGCCATGTCTTCTGCCCCACAGCTTCCCCACAGTTACCCCATCGTCCTTTACTTCAAACCAACATCACTAGACACCAGGGGGGTTTATTATCAAGTCCGTTTTCATTTGTTGGTTTGAGTTTTGTTTTTCCTTGGATTCAAATATTCTGTCAATGTTACAGCCTTATTGCAGGACAGAAAGATAACTTGTCCCTCCGATGTGCTTTGATGCCTCACACTGAGGCCCCGGGTTCAACATTCAATTCTTCCTACGATTCCAGTGCTCCCTTACTTCCCTTATGTGAGCAAAAGGCTTCTTTGTGAGGGGACCTATTTTTCATACTATCTCAAACCTTTTACTTTAAAGAAAAAAATTTTTGTCATCCCTGTTACAATAAAAGGTTATATTAGAATTTGTCAAAATTGCTTTCCTTTGGGATACCGGTCACGACTATCTCCATAATGCAGGACATTCCAACAGTTAGGAAAATTGAATTCCTGAGTCCAAAGGCCTAACTGTTTAAATTGATGGTATAGCTGTAAACTAAGGAGAGGATGTACCATCCTGCCCAGCGATGCACTTGGAGAACGCCTTCCACTCCGGAGCCTTGAGCTCTGTAATACTGTCTTCAGGAAAGGTTCAGGGGAGAGCGCGCCTTTTTCCGTGCCCAATACGTGTGGCAAAACTGCGCCCCCTGCTGGTGAGCCGATCCCACGGCTTCTGAAGAGAAGGGCTCCCCAGATGAGAAGTAGCTGGGCAAGAACGTGTTTTCTTCTTGTTGAGATGAAACAAGCTGTTTTAAACCCAGCTCATGTGGTGAACATCTTGGCTCCTAATCACCCCTTGCTAGAAATTCAGCTCTGGAGTCACAGAACACTGAACTCCTTCTTAAAAGTGAATACTGTATACCGGGGATTTAGCTCAGTGGTTCCGGCGCCTGCCTCTCAAGCGCAAGGTCCGGAGTTCGATCCCCCGTACCAAAAAAAAAAAAGTGGATACTGTAGTTCAGAACTTCTATCTGTGGCCAGTTTACATCTGAAAAGAAATGTGGCATCAAAAAAGGCGTCTTCCACGAGCCGGGGATTTAGCTCAGTGGTTCCGGCGCCTGCCTCTCAAGCGCAAGGTCCGGAGTTCGATCCCCCGTACCAAAAAAAAAAAAGTGGATACTGTAGTTCAGAACTTCTATCTGTGGCCAGTTTACATCTGAAAAGAAATGTGGCATCAAAAAAGGCGTCTTCCACGAGCCGGGGATTTAGCTCAGTGGTTTCGCCGCCTGCCACGTAAGTGTAAGGACCCGCGTTCGATCCCCGGTACCAAAAAAAGGCATCTTACAGAACGTTAGCGCGCTCTCCTCTGCCCTCGAAGGGAACAGGTTCAAGTTAGCATCAGATCCTGAGTCTAAAATGCAGTTTGCTGAAGCCGACCGGATTCTGGATGTGTAGAATGTTCAACAATCCACAGCTTCCTTTTTGTTTGTTTCCATTTGTAGAACAGACACGGGCACAGCAAATACTCCGTGGCAAAGTATTTTTAAAAGCGATTAATTACTATCTAACAATAAGTGATAAGCACCATTAATGCTTTGTGATATCTAAATTCCTAGTTTTAAGGACATTTGTTTTACAAGCTCTAGGACCCACCACACAAGAGGAGAAAGTGAGACCGGTTTTAGCTACACGTTCTGAATATGAGGTGAAGACACTGGTAACTCATCCAATAGAAATTTTCATTGTTTTTAGGAGGGGATGGAGGGATTGGTAGCAGAATATTTTCTTTGTTTTTTGGATGTTCATTTTTAATTACATGAGTAATGCGTCCCTGTAAAGCTGACACTAACAATAAAGATAACACCAAAGGCCTTCCTATATAATTTTTCCCATCATAACATACCCCTTTTCACCATGTTTATGGTGGCACAGCTTGTAATAGCTAAAGCTTGGAAATAGCCCAAGTGCCCATCAACTGGAAACCGGATAAAGAAGATACGGGGTTTTTAAAAATAAAATGGAGTACTACTCAGCCATAAAGAATGAGAAACTAGAGTCATTTATAGCTAAGTGGAGCATATTGGGGACATACTTTTTTTTTTGAGATGGAGAAAATTTCTTTCATTTATGATTTTCACAGAGACTATAAATAAATAATCAGCCAATGAATTAACAACTTATATGGTTCAGAATGAGATATTGGAACTATGCGTTTTATTGCAGTTGACTCATAGTTTACAGAAATCATAATCAAAAAGTATGTTAGAATGTTTTTATATGTGTTTTTAATGTTTTATATGTAGCAAATACTGGCACATATACATACACACCAAAGTTCAGTTTTAAAAGGTTAAATAATAATGTGGAATCTTCATTAATGATTGAAGAAATAAATTGAGTATAATTTATGCATTCATTAGTTACTTATTATTTATGTCAAACAATTATTTAATGTAAACATAATGCTAGTTACCACTTTAGTAACTGTAAAACCTATTAATGAACTTTGGCCTGAAAGAACCAGACTGGTGAGATGTTTCCTTCATTCTAGGTTTCTCTTTTCACTTATAATTTTGACAGCACA